CCGTGAGCCTTGCTCCCGCTTCCGTTGCTTGGGGCTGAATACGTGCGCTTTCTTCCAGGGTTTGAAATTCCTGATGGCGATGCAGAGAAGTTGATGTGCCCACAGGAGATCGTAGATTACATTGCAGATAAGAAGGACGTTTATGAATAACAGGAGCTGTGCAGAGCTGGGTAAGTAGGAGCCCGCCTCTGCCAGTGTCTTGGGTGACGATGGCTACGCATGGGGTACACCAGGGAGGGGGTACAGGGCACAGAGCGAGCCCAGCAGGGAATGGGGAGGATGTGTGTGTGCTGTGGGGGGTGGCCATGGGGCTCAGCCCCCTTCCCTCTTGCCCTGCCTGGCGCTTGGAGCACTGAGGTTATCCAGGGTCTCTCAGCAGATGGTGACTTGGTTTGGTCACTGAGGTCCCTCCTTGGTGCTCCCCGGCCATGCGTGGAGCCAGCGGCTCCAGGGGGATGAGCTGGGAGCCGCGCTCTGCCCATGGCAGCCGTTTCCTCCCCACCAGCAGTGCCGGAGGCTGGAGCAGGGAAGGAAGTGGGCAGGAAGGGGTTATTGGAGCGGCTGCAGGGGAAATGAGCCGGGGGCCTCCGTCCCCTCTGTTTGTTCCTGTGCGCTTCTGGCCTCCCCCCACACTCTGACTTCGGGGGGGAGCCGTACCCCAGGGCCGTGCTCTGCCCCGGTGCCGCTCTCCAAGCCAAGGTGCGAGCCCTGGCGATTTGGGAGATCTGTGGACTCCTCATGTGCCCGCTCTGGTGGTGTTCAGTGCCTGTCCCTGCCTGACCCACGTCTGTGCCTCAAAACAGTGGCTCTTGCCCAATGAAATACTGAACATATGGATTTTATTTTCTTAACAGGAGCTGTCTGTACCACCAGGACGGGGCTGGTGTCAGCGGGTGTGAATGTGAGCGCAGGTGCTGCACCATTGCTGCTTTCATCGGGAAGTTGTACTTGGACGTTGTATTTAAAACTGTCTGAATGTGTTGTCCTTGAAAAACAGGAAAAAAAGGAATAAATGTATAAGACCACTGTTGTGTTGATGGCTTTTCCACCGTCCCCCTGCCTCTCTGCTGGTGTCTGCGCTGTCCCATAACCCATCCTGGTGCTTTATTTTATCAGCACTGGGAAAAACAAGCAGGTTCCAGTGGAAAGGCTGCTGCTTTCCCATGGAAAATAAAGGTGGGGGGTGGCTTTCGTGCTGCTGAAAAGCAGAATTGCGGTGGTGTTTCTGTAAGCCCAGCTCACCTCAGCACAGGAGCCTTGTTCTGAAGCTCCCAAAACAGAAACAGGTTATTTCTGGACGTGGCACGGTTTTTTCCTCAGCCAAAAACACTTTCCACTGTCACAGAGGCACCGCCAGGCTCTGAGCCAAGGAAGTGTCACCGGGTAACGTGTCCCCCGCTGGCAATGGGGGGCGGAGGAGGGAAAAGAGAACTGGGTCTATCGGTGCTGGGATGGTGCCCGAGTGGGGGGTGGGAATGGGGAGTGGGTGCTCATGGGGGTCCCTCTGGAGCCACATTTCACGTTTAAATTGGCACCGTGCTGGCTCTTTGTGCCTGGGTGACCCCAGCCTTCAGGGCCCGAGTTTCGCTTTCGTTGTGTGCGAAGCCCAGGATTTGGAAACTCTAAAATCGCTGCTGCACCCCAGGCGTGTCCCAAAACCTCTTCTGGATGGGCTCCACAGCAGAGCAGAGGGGATGCAGCCGTTCGGTCCCCACATCCGTGCTGGTCCCCCCTGTCTTGTCCCCTTGCCCCGGGACAGCAGTGGCTGCAGAGC